CTATTATCCATATGGAGTGTGCATCATTTCACATCATCCAAGGAGAGTTGCAGTAGCAAATAATGGTGGCAAAAGTGTAAATATATTCAATTATTAAATATAGATTTTTTTCAACCTCAAATCTACAATTGTATTTGTTTTCATTGTAAATGTAATAAAAATATTTTGTTTTGGATAATAAAGAAGAAGGTTAATCATATACAGAAGAAACACACAGGCTGTGTAATAATCTGCTGGCTGAATGAAGTGCTTCTGTAATTAATTTTTCTATATTCGCATTTCTTTTACATTCAATCACAAGTTAAAATCTCAAATTATATGAAGGAAATATGGTTTTCTAAAAGCTAAGTGCCATGAGAAGTGTGGAGTTACTGGAGGATGTTTTATAGAGGATTTGTTCTTTGGATCTGGTTATATTTGGAGTGAATTAGTTAGAGTGGAGTTGAATAGCTTAGTGCTTTAATAAGATGCTTAACTCACTAAACAAAATTACAAACAAATAACAAAAAGCAAAACAATTATAAATCCATTTAAATTGCCCAAGGAATTAATGCACAGCACACAAATAACAATGAAAGGATAAATCAAAATAAAAAAATGAAATTTATGGAAATGGTACTATACTACTATCACAATAAAATGATTGATTGATTGCAGAAAAAAAATTTTTTTAAAATGAGGTATCAAGAAATAAGAAGAAAGGCAGTGATTATTAAGATGTGAGAAAATAGATGAGTAACAAAAATGAGGAAGAAATAAGAGAGGAAAGAGGTGGAAAATACATTAAAAATGAAAGCTGGGCATGAACATCAGTAAAACAAATGAAAGGGAAGAAAAAAATAAAGAAAAGTGATAAGATAAAGAGAGAAGAAAAATGGAGAGAAAAAAGATGAAAACAAAAGAAGGACTAGAGGATATGGTCAGTAAAAGAGGTGAAGACAAAAAATAGAAGTGAGGAAGGAGAAAATAAACGAAAAAGCAAAGAAAGTGATTGAGAATATGAGCAAAATATGAAAAGTTTAAATAGAAATCAACCAATAGAAAAACATCCATCTCTCGGATTTTGTTCAAATTTTAGTGATTCAGACCTATGAGAAACGATAAAAAATGAAAAGGTTTTGATCTTGGGCTATTAATTAGCGAGATATGCGCTAAGAAATTTTGAGCTATTTAGCGAAATATTGCATGTTTAACTGACCATATCTCGGTAAGTATAGCACCTATTGAGCTGATTTTGGGGTCTAGGCCCATTGACACCCGCCGGTTGCCACCCCGGCCGGTTGCCACCCTAGGCCCATTGCCACCCTAGGCCCATTGCCACCCGGCCTATTGCCACCTGGCCCGTTGCCACCCGGCCTGTTGCCACTCTAAGCCCATTGCCATCTGGCCTTTTGCCACCCGGCCCGTTGCCACCCACACAGACCTACCAAGTCTCACACCTACGGCGTGAGAATCACGCCTCGGCGTCTCTTCTGACGCTCACCCGCTCAACAATCATTTTCTCACGCCAGTCGTCGATGGGGCCAACAATATAAATAAATAAAAATAAATAAATATATAAAAATCAAACAAAAACACAGGGAGCTATCGCATTAGAAAATTGATAGTCGGAATAATGTAAAGTTACAAGCCAGGTATTTGTAATACCTCATTCCAATGCTGAAGAGGAGCTAATCTTTCAATGGTTCGGAAAAAGAAAACTGCCTTTCGCCCAAATTTACAGTAGATCCCAGGGGAACCTTGTCAAGTATTCTGACCATCAAATTGGCACAGGAGCCTAAAGATGTATTAAAATCTACAAAAAAAGATCACCTGTGCTTATAACAAAGCTCACTCATCAACTTCACAGAAGTAAGGTTAACTCTCTCCCATGGCTTAGCAATTTCATTTATTCCTGAAGATGAAATAATAAATGTCAAAATATTGAATCAAAAAAATGTCCATTTCTTGGAGTTTGTATTACTCTATATAAGAATTCTGCAAGTAACATTGTATTATAGGTATGCACCAAATTGCACAATTTAATATAAAAACCAAAAAAGAAAAATTTTTCTATTGTGGGAGGGGATTTACCCCTCCCACACCGACCCCCACTCCCTAGGTTGCTTCGCTCAATCGATTGTTTGATTTTTCTCACTCCCAGCTAATTGACAAACTTGGCATCTCTGCCCACAATGGTACAGCATAGCATTTTATTCTCAGAAATTTCACTCTCAGAATTTTGCCACAATATGTGGATGAATGGATTGGGCGCTTTGATAAGTTAATTTTAAAATTAAACATAGACAATTCGTTGCCGGGTGGCAAAAGGCCGGGTGGCAAAAGGCCGGGTGGCAACGGGCCAGGGTGGCAACGGGCCGGAACCCCTGATTTTGGTGTCATTTCAAAGCTACTAAGTAGCTCTATAACTGTCTAAATAAATGTTAACTCCTCAAATCAACCATAAAAAAGTTGCTATAGTTTAAAAAGTTTAGAGTTGAATAAAAAAAAATACACATTTTTTTCCTTTCAAAATCATGCTAGAGGTACATTATGGTGTAATGAATTAAGCCTCCCTATAAGCTTGGTGATGGGCGCTCTAACAGTTTCTAACCAATTAGCAATTATGTATGGCATGTCCAATCGAAATTGCACTTTTTGTATATACTCTATTAACACTGTACTTCTGTATAGAAAATACAAATGGCAACCAAAATGCGAATTTTAATATACAGTAGGTATGAGAAAATTAGATCACTTAGAAATTCAAGATTGAAATTACTTGGGAAACAATGGTGGTGCTGGCAAGTGCAGGGGGAATTCCCGCTCCGCCACCCTTTGGACCGGCCTAGACCCCCTTCGGACAGGCCAGAGCCCCTGTTGTCTGACGCCACAACGAGGTCGTCTGATCAACAATAATAACTGGCATATCCAAAATAACAATATTTTGATTGCCAATCAATAGTATTGTGGTCTAAAAGCAAAAATTTTGGCAATACTAAGCCATAAAAACCCTCCCCCTGAACACTACCAGGTATTTTTTATTCCGGGACCCAGACTGAGGCGGCTGTAGTCAACCCCTTGGTTCAGTCCACTTGTCGGCCCCTGGCGGCAAATTTCTTAAGCTTGTGAAGATTGAAAAGAAAATAACTAGACGCTTTTGTAGACGCTGCTTTTGCCCATCCACTGGTACAGTCACATTACCCCGGGGTAACCCCCAACTCGTTTCACCAGTACAGAGTCCATCAGAGTTCACATATGCCAGTTGTGTTCACTGGGCCTACTGTGGTGTCCTTATCGGAAAAGACTTCTTCCACCACCAAAATTATGTCGAGTGTGCCACTTGAAACTCTAGGTTGTGGGGAGCCAACGTGTGGTCTAAACCAAGGGGTTCACTAATTTAATTAAAATTGAATTAAAAAATGTTCACTGAGAAGGTTTTTATGGATTAGTATAGCCCAAATTGTGCTTTCAGACCACAATACTAGGGAGAGGCAATCAAAATATCGTTATTTGGGAGGAAGGGAAAGATCCTCCCAGCCCCCACCAGTGCCACCACTATTTCCCAAGGAATTTAATTTATAATTGCTCATTGGTCAGGAACTGTTAGAGCGCCCATCACCAAACTTATAGGGATTAAGCTCTTTTACATCATAATGTACCTCTAGCATGATTTTGAAGAAAGAGAAAAGATATTAATTTTTTTATACAACTTTGAACTTTTCATTCTACTGTATAGCAACTTGTTTATGGTTGATTTAGGAGTTAACATTTATATTCAGAATGTTATTTATAGAGCTAGTCAATAGCTTTAAAATGACACCCGGCCAAAATCAGCTCAATAGGTGCTATACTTATCGAGATATGGTCAGTTAAATGTACAAGGTATCGCTAACCTAACTAATTAAGAGCCCATGATCAAACATTTTTCATTTCTGATCGCTGCTCATAGGTCCCAACCACATACAGTACTATTTTGAACAGAATCAGAGAGATTGATGTTTTTATGGTAGATTTGACATGGAATTTTGTTTTGACTAATTTAAATTTAAAACAGTTCAATAAATTCATTCAAACAATTCATGGTCTATTGCACAAATAATGATCTTCTGTATGCTAGGTCACTTGAATAGAAGATACACCAGGAAAAACGTATTTCTATTGTCGGAATCATTTTACATGTACTGTACATCAGGTTGAACAGAGAACTTTAAGGTAAATATCTCATTTATTTATGTTGTTTAGTATGAAATTGAAAAAGCCAATGAATAAATTATTATAAGAAAAAAAATGAAGAAAACCCACTTAAATTATTACTGTATTATTTGATTTTGAGTAGGCTCCAATTACGAATGTTTCAGAGTCTGTGGAAATGAATTTCTCAGACTAAACAATCTATTTTGATACACTTTGCTATGTATTAGGACCATTCTTAATATTATATTTTATTAAAATTCAAAGGTATGCAAACTCATGTATATCACATATTCTCTGAGTTAAAGGAGAAAGTTTGCTGTTTTAATATAATTTGATAACTAATTTGTGATTTAGAAATAGACACTGAACATCAGAGAATGAAGACAAAAAAATATATGCATAATGACTGTACAGTTTAGCCCACCACCTGAGATTTATATATTAGGCTTGCTAGGCTAGAAGTTTGTGAACCGACAAAAATGGACGAAAAATAGGTATGCTGTTCCTTGGAAAAAGGCCTATCTTTATTAGATGAGTATGATGCAGACTCACAACCTTACAACAGAACTTTTATAAGTTTAGGAACCTGTAGCATCTTTCAAAGAAGTGTTCATGCATGTGTGCATCACACAGGACATTTCCTTTGATGTTCAATTTAACCCTACATTTGATTCTGGGTTGCACTATATGGTCTAGTTGGAATTATGATGCATAAATAGACCAATCATCATTAAAATTAAATTATTATTTTGTATCTTCATTCATTACCCTGAACAATACTAGCTCATACAAATAATTTATAATTCACAGAATCTTATTTCAAAATGGCTACCAGTGAGCTCAATCAGTTTCTGGAAGATGTTGATGAGAAGGTCCTAGAGTGCACCATTTGCTCTAAGAGACTTCAAAATCCTAAATCACTCAAGTGCCTTCACAGCTTCTGTTTGGCATGTCTTAAATATTTGGTTAAGGTGAAGGGTAAGCTGACTTGCCCAATTTGTTCCAAATCATACCCCCTTCCAGAGGGTGGGCTTCAGAAGCTTCCACCAAGTACCTTTATAAATAACTTATTAGAAACTATTGAACAACTGTCAGAAAGAAATCAGAAGAAATGTGTTTGTAAAAAAGAGAAGTTGGAATACTACTGCCAGGAATGCAGACAGTACTTGTGTTCTTCGTGTAGCGATCATCACAAAGACTTCCGGTTCTTTGCAAATCACAAGCTACATTCAGTTGAGGATGTGCGATCAATGAGTCTCATACAGAAAGCTTCATTACATCCGCCGCAATGTTTGCTTCACAGTAAACCGTTTGAATTTTACTGTAAAAGTTGTAAAATTCCAATTTGTGGTAATTGTACTATTATGGACCACAAGGAATGGAAAGGAAAACACAAACCAATCAGAATTTCAGAAGCATTTCAAGCATTTAAAGAAACTTCTGCAACATTAGAGAAAGCTGCCGATCATTGCAAGAACAAATTGCAAGACTGCCTTCAACTGGTTATTAAAAATGGTACAGAATTAGGAAAAAGTAAAGAAACATGTTTGAGAGATATCAAAAAGCATGTACGTGTGATGATAAAAAAAATAGAAGAGAATGGAGAGAAAATTAAAACTGAAGTAGAGACAATATACAAAGAGAAAAAAAAGGTAAATGATGAACAAATTAGTGAATTGAAAAAAACAATATCTGATATAAATACAAAACTGATTTTTCTTAATCAGTTATTAAAGAGTAATGAAGCAACAGCAATGCAATCAAGTGAAACAGTAATTACAGCACTGAAGGATAGAATCAAAATATTGCCAAAAACAGATCCGAATGATGATGGAGAAATTAAATTTCATAAGCATCAAAATTCTTTATTGCAACAATGTGATATTGGGTATATATTACATTCACACATGAGGGCAGCAGACTGTTTTACCCTACTGGGGGAGGAATCTGTGTCACAAGGTCAGGAAATTGTTTTCAAAGTGATCAAAACAGATAAGTGTGAAATACAAGCAAACCAACTTATGGCAACATGGACACAGCCTACAGGAGAAACCAACATCATCCAAGTTCAAGAAGATCAGACTGGAGATTATATTGTGACAAAAAAATGCTTACGGCCAGGTGTTTGTAAACTTGGTGTTAGCACTTATGGAAAACCAATCAAGCAATCCCCAATGACAGTCAATGTAGAAAAGAAACGATTAGTAAATACCATTCAAGTACCGGTAATATATGACCATGTTAGAGATGTAGTTCAATGTGAAGATGATTGCTTGCTGGTTTCATGTCGCAAAAATGAAATTCTGAAGTACAAGCAATCAGGGTTATATATTGATAAGGTCACACTACCACAAGGTGTGCAAGTTAACAGAATGTTCAAAATGAAGAATGGCAACATAGCATTCAGTGATTTAGGTAATAAATGCATCAAAGAATGCAATATGAATGGTCAGGTGGTCAGATCAATTGGTCAGGGAGAACTATTAAATCCATCTGGTATCCATGTGGACGAGGCAAACAATGTTGTGTATGTTGGAGATTGGGATTTAAATTATGTTTTTATGTTTGACTATGATGACAAGATGAAAAAGCAGATAGGGTCAAAAAGCAACCATGAAAATAAAATAAGTAGGGTCTTTGATGTTACACTTACTAATCAAGGAAATCTCCTTATATTGCATTATAAAAATCAAGGACTACAGCTATTCGATAATGAGGGAAGGTTCTTGAAAGTCCTTGTTGAAACAGGTTGCGAGAATGACAATGTGTGGGGACCACGTGGAGTAGCAGTTGATGAAGATGAAAACATCATTATATCAAGTGACCACAAACTGCAGCTATTCAGTAGTGATGGAACATTTATTAAAAGAATTGATAAACCAGAAGATGGAATTGGTAAACCATATGGAGTGTGCATCATTTCACATCATCCAAGGAGAGTTGCAGTAGCAAGTGATCATGACAAAAGTGTAAAAATATTCAACTATTAAATATACACAGTCCACTGTCCTACTATTAATGTGATGTAAATTTATAGGTTCACAGTGTACTGTATCTATAGACCACATTATTGAGTGTATATATGGAAGCAGTGCCATTAACGTCTGATGACTTACAACTTTTCACTGGAGGAAGCAAGAGCTTTAATTTCTGCTAATACAAATACAACTTACTCTTTTGCTCTATTTGTGTCTGTTATTCAAAATTTGAACACACTTGTACCACACTTCAGAAACTATATATATTTGAAAAGTGTTCAGCGGTAGGTCCAGGAATTTGAAATACAGGGTGGCCAGGGAGCAAAGGTAAAAAATGTATGATTATGGCACCTGTCAATGACTGGAAATACATTCACAGATTTAAACTTGAATATAATTTTCTTTTCTATCCATTTTTTTAAATTTTGGAAAATTTAGGGGGATCCAGGCAGACAGGAGCTGCTCTAGAATCCACCACTGGTAAATTTAAATTTTCTTTTGTTTTAATTTAAAAAAATGAATGTCAAAAAGTCATGCTACTCCCTCTTCCGCTTCCCTCCCCCTCCCCCATTTGCAATGGTAATAAGCCTTCAGGCTTTATTGGGTCATCCTGAAAAATAACATTTATATGCTTGGCCTAGGATAGGAAAACTAGGGGTTCTTTAATAACTTTCCTAATGAAGATGAAATAAGGTTGAAATACCAATTCAAAGTCACCATCAATTAATAATTTAGGTGTCTACAGTAGTTTTTCAAGTACTTCTTTAATTGTAAATATAGTGAATTCAGAATTTCTACCTTTATTTAAGAAATTGAAATTGTTAGATGTGTTTAATTTTAAATTATGCATCTGTTTGATCTCTATTATGATAAATTGCCTGAAAAATTGAAATGAATATTTTACAATTATCATGCATACACATAAAACTAAGTAAAAATCAAAGTAAAATCTATTAGCTGAAGGTAATCACTACATCCGGAAATTTTCTAAAAAATAATAACCTTAGTAGAAACCTGATACATTGTTCAATTATTCTGACTATTGAAATTTAAAACAGTTCAGTAGTCTCATTCAATCAAGACACGGTTTATTGCACAACAATATCGATCTATGCTATACCTGGAAAAACCCATTTCTATTGTTGGAGACATTTTATATTTACTGTACAGCAGGTTTAACAGAGAACCGTAAAGGTAATTATATCTTTTATTTATATTGTTTAGTATAAAATTGAAAGAGAAAATGAATACACTAATACGAAAAAATTGAAAAAAAACCGCACTTAGATTATTATTATATTTGAGTAGGCTCTTTTTAAGAATGTTCCAGTCTCTGATGGATATGAATTTGTCAGACTGAAAAATCTATTTTGATACACTTTATAGGCCCATTCATATTTTATTTATAGTTCGAAGGTATGCTCCTACAGGTCACAAAATCAATAAATATCACATTCTTTTGACTTTTTTACTAATCTCTTGTGCGTTCGTTAAATAGACGCTCTAAACTATAATTTGTGATGACGTGGCAGGTGCAAATTGCTCCATGTAATCTTAGAGGCAGGCAATGCATAAATTAGAACGATTCTAAACGAGTCGTTTGTATTTATATTACTATCCCTGCATCTGTACATAAAATAACATTGAATAGCCCTGGTAGGGCAAGAAGTAATTGTAGACCTAGATGAAGAAGACACTGAACATCAGAGAGTGAAGAAAAAACAAGAAATATTAGATTGCCACCTGTCGATTAAAATATTAGGCCAGGCTAGGCTGGAAGTTTGTGAAGCTGTTTCTTGGAAAATGCGCCTATCTTTAATATATTTTTGAAATTGACACAGAATCGATTAATTTTATAAGTTTATGAACCTGTGCATTACGCAGGCTACATTTCTTTGTAGTTCAATTCAACACTAAATTTGATTCTGGGTCGACCAACAGTCTTGATAGTATGTCACATACATGGTCCTACGATTACATCTTTGTATACAAGAGCCATTTTATATGATATTATAAAAATACAAAAATAATAATATGAAGGACTACTGCAGGAATCATCTTAATCATTCATAATATGCAATACTGTCTTTGTTGCCTAATTTGAATGTAGCAATTTAATGTACTTGGAAGGAGTATGACTCTCTCCAAGATAGTTATACTTCCTTTCGTTTGTATAAAATAATATAGAATGATAAATCTGGTAGACGATTAGATATACATTTATCATACCAAGACCATATTTGTATGGATATAGCTAAAACAAAAATGGCACTAGCAAAAAAATAGCCCCACTAAACTACCCCCTCCGATATATAATGTCCACAACTGACTGATAGGAAAAGTAGACCTCATATTATTATTACCAACCACCAACAGTGTTATTATTTTGTATCTTTATTTATTACCCTGTGACTCAGTGGCAATTTTTCTTCTGCTATATTTTTATTTTTTTCATTATTTTTTTATTTTCTAAATTATATTTAATCCCTATTATTACTTATTTTATTTGTTTTTATGTCAATTAAATCTGGTCCTCCTTGTCAATTTTTAATGTAAATAATGATTTTAATTTGTTACGGTGAATTGATTTATGTTTATCATGGGAAATTTTTCATGTGCTATATTTTCTTCTGTATCTGTTCAAATACGGCACTAAACCTCAAACTAAACGTAAAAGTGCTGGCGTTGGGACACGCAGATACGTCAGTTTTGAAGTCAAAGGTTACATTATATATATCCATAAAATTTATATTTTAATGGCAACAAGACAATTTTAATTAGACATACATAACAAGATATTAGATGTGAAAAAAAAATTAAAAAGCCAATAAAAATTAATGAATAAAAGTTTGTACAATAAATACTTTCATACTTCATTGTTTATATTTTGCGTTATAGATTTTTCTTTTTATTGTCTTATTTTTATCGTTTTTATTATTTATTCTACATATTTCTATGTTGAAAATTTACAGTGGCAATTTCTATTTAAATATTTTTATATTCTCTGTGACAATTCTTGTTTCCATTATTTCTATTTTTTTCGATTTTCTTATTCTTCTTTTTTCACGTTATTGTTTTGGTGATCTTTCTAGGGTCATTTTTTATACCTATATTTCAATTTTTGTATTTTTATTGTATGTAGCGAGTCCTTGTAGACCTGTTCCTCACCTATTGGCTCGACTCCTTCACCTTTTTATTTATGCACATTTAGAAGGTTATTCAATTTTAAAAAAACCCTGTACAATATTAACTCATATATATAATTTATAATTCACAGAATTTTATTTCAAAATGGCTACGCGTGAGCTCAATCAGTTTCTGGAAGATGTTGATGAGAAGGTCCTAGAGTGTACCATTTGCTTTAGTAGACTTCAAAATCCTAAATCTCTCAACTGTCTTCATAGCTTCTGTTTCGAATGTCTTGAAAATTGGGTTAAGGTAAAGGGTATTCTGACTTGCCCAACATGCTCAAAATCATACCCCTTTCCAGAGGGTGGGCTTCAGAAACTTCCACCAAATACTTTTATAAATAACTTATTAGAAACTATTGAACAATTGCCAGAAAGAGATCAGAAAAAATGTGTTTGTAAAAAAGGGAAGTCTGAATACTACTGCCAGGAATGCAGGCAGTACTTGTGCTCTGCCTGTAGTGATCATCACAAAGACTTCAGACTTTTTGCAAATCACAAGCTACATTCAGTGGAGAATTTACGATCAATGAGTCCCACACAAAAAGCTTTGTTACATACGCCGCAGTGTTTACTTCACACTAAACCTTTGGAATTTTACTGTACAAGTTGTAAAATTCCAATTTGTGTTAACTGTACAATTATGAACCACAAGGAATGGGAAGGAAAACACAAACCAATCAGCATTTCAGAAGCATTTCAAACATTTAAAGAAACTTCTGCAACATTGGAGGAAGCTGCACAACAGTGTAAAAACAAATTGCAAGATTGCCTTAAAGTGGTTATAGAAAATGATACAAAATTAGGACAAAGTAAAGATACGTGTTTGAGAGATATTGACATGCATGTACAAGTGATGATAAGAAAAATGGAAGAGAATGGAGACAAAATTAAAATTGAAGTAGAGACAATATACAAACAAAAAAAGAAGGCAAATGATGTACAAATAGATGAATTGAAAGCCACAATATCTTATATTAATACAAAACTGAGTTTTCTTAATCAGTTATTAAAGAGTGATGAAGCAACAGCAATGCAATCAAGTGAAACAGTAATTACAGCACTGAAGGATAGAATCAAAGTATTGCCAAAAACTGAGAGTGATGATGGAGAAATGAAATTTCATGAGCATCAACATTCTTTATTCCAACAACGTGATATTGGGTATATATCACACATGAGGGCAGCAGACTATTTTACCTTGAAGTGGGAGGAATCTGTGTCACAAGATCAGAAATTTGTTGTCAAAGTGATCAAAACAGATGAGTGTGAAATACAAGCAAACCAACTTAAGGCAACATGGACACAGCCTGCAGGAGAAACCAACATCACCCAAGTTCAACAAGATGAGAATGGAGATTATTTTGTGACAGGTAAATGCTCAAGTCCAGGTGTTTGTAAACTAGATGTGAGCATTAATGGCAAACCAATCAAGCAGTCACCAATGACAGTCAAAATAGAAAAGGAAGGAATAGTAAATACCATAAATGTACCATTACCCACAATAATTGTAAAAGATATAGTTAAGTGTGAAGATGATTGCTTGCTGGTTTCATGTGGCGAAAATGAAATTCTGAAGTACAGGCAATCAGGAGAAAACATTGGTAAGGTCACATTACTGCAAGGTGTGAGAGTTAACAGGATGTTCAAAATGAAGAATGGCAACATAGCATTCAGTGATGTGGGTAATGAATGCATCATTGTATGCAATATGAATGGTCAGGTGGCCCAATCAATTGGTCATGGAATATTGAAGATTCCGTCTGGTATCCATGTGGATGACATATCAAATGTTGTGTTTGTTGGAGATTGGTATTCAGACTATGTCTTCATGTTTGACTTTAATAATGAGAACATGATAAAGCAGATAGGGCCAAAAAGCAAAAGAAAAATAAGTAGGGCCTTTGATGTTACTCTTACAAATCAAGGAAATCTCCTTATATTATATTATACAGGACTACAGTTATTCACTAAAGAAGGAAGGTTCTTGAAAGTCCTTGTTGAAACAGGTGATGAGAATGGTAAGGTGAGGTGTCCACGTGGAGTAGTAGTTGATGAGGATGACAACATCATTATATCAAGTGAACAGAAACTGCAGCTTTTCAGTAGTGATGGAAATTTCATTAAAAGAATTGATAAACCAGAAGATGGAATCACAGATCCACATGGAGTGTGCATCATTTCACATTATCCAAGGAGGGTTGCAGTAGCAAATGGTTTTGGCCAAAATATAAAAATATTCAATTATTAATATAGATAGTCCAGTGATGTGATGCAAACTTATAGGTACACAGTGTACTGCATATCTATAAATCATTTCATTGGTTGTATATTGGAAATAGTGAAAGGAATATTTGAAGACTTGCAACTTTTCACTAGGGGAAACCAAGCTACGATCTCTGGCAATTACCATATGTAAATACACAGAAATAATCCTTTAAGACTAAACTTGTTTGAAATATCAACATTTCGTTCCTCTTCCATTTTCATTTATTTATGTTTATTTTACTTTTAATTAATCCATAAATGTAAATGTCCTGATAACCTCTAAATTTGATTTACTGTAATAGTGTCCTAGTTGATTTGCCTTGTACTCTACTACAAGGAATACAAATACATTTTAACTCTTCTGCTTGCCTTGTATCTGGTATTCTCAAATTTGAAAAGATTAGCAACACACTTTAAGAATCTACATATATGAAACGTATTCAGTTGGTGGGTCCAGAAATTTGAAGCAAAGGTTGGCCAGAGAACAGAGGAAAAATTTATGATTATGACACTTATATGTCTGGAAATTGCACTCTCAGATTTAATTTTAAATATAATTTTCTTTTATTTTTTTTGGTCAGTTTTATATATGTATGTAATGAGCAAGGAATCCTCAATCAATAAGGCCTAGTTCTATATAGTGTAATTGCGTAATTATTTTCTGTTCTGCTATTTCTCGTTCTAAACTATTTTTGAAAAATTCTTTCTTTAATACTTGAACTTTCTACTGAGTGGGCAGAAGATGCAAAAGAATTAGCTACAGTTTTTTGGGTGAGTTTTTGAGTCATGTTCATGACCATTGATCAGTGGTCGAAGTGTCTGTCCTGTTTGTCCAAATGTAGAGAGCATTGGCAAATATTACATGATATAGCATATACATAGGCAATAGATGACATGCAGTTATAAGTGGCTGTTATGCTTAAAATGTTATTAAATAATAGGTCCTTGACAATGCTACAGGATTTGATACTATGTGGACAAGTTTGCAAGTCCTAGTATTGCATGGAAATGTACCATGGTTGCTGTTAGTGGGAAGTTTACTTTAAACTAGATTAAATTTAATAAATTTCAGAATAGAGTACTGTTTACAGGCAATGATAGATTTGTCTTTAAAAATATCATTGAGGGCTTCATCATGTAGGAGAGGTTGTAGATCATCTATGATGTGTTTGAGGGTTTGTTAAGTAATGGGTGATATGTTGTTATTAACGGTGTCCAGTTAGAGGATGTCTATTTGTTGTATTGAAGTGGGCCTTGGCGTGGTATATGCTTATGCTTTCTCTGTTTTGTCAACTACTTATGTACCATACTCAAGTTTCTTATTTGTGTTAGATAGTTCTGCGATAGTTCTGCTAAGTGATTATCTCTGTCTGTTGTGTCAGAGCATATGCGGTTGTAGCAGAGGGATTGACTATACAGAATTATTGTATTGGTAATATGCAAATGCGTTGACCCGAAGGTCGTAGTGCCTCAGTGGTTGGGCTACATTAACCCTGCGAGGGTCGTCACTACAATATTTACTTTTTTTTAAATAATTGTTAAATATTTTTTTCCTTACTTAACTTTTACTCTTTTTTGCATTTCTTTTTTTCCACTTTTCTTTAATTTTTTTTCATACTTACGACCCGTCTCTTTTCCTTTACTTTCCTGTAATTTCTTTTGCTAACTTTTCTTTCCCTACCCCATTTTCCTCCTAACATTTTTCATTTTTCTACCTCTTTTCAAGTTTTCCCTTTCCTCTACTTACTTATCTTATAAAGTAATCTTTTGAATTTATGTTTATAATTCATTTTCATTGTGTAGTTTACTATAATGCTCATGTTAGCCAGCTATGAGTTTTAAATTTTAAAAAAAATGAATGTAAAAACGAGTCATTCTTATGGTAAAAAATTTAAAAAAATAACAAGTCATGCTTATGGTTACCTTGGAAACCATATACTTTTAAAAATAATCAAAATAAACCTTATTAAAGTAGGTCATTATGTTGGACATAATGAGAGGTTTGATCACAATTAAAAATTAGATTAATGATCTTAATTAAAAATGGTGTTATGTGTCAAAGCTGAAATGTTACAGTGGTTTATGAATCAGAGTTGCTGATCATTGTTCTGTAATATTTGTTAATAGGTGGCCTAGGACAGGAAAGGGGTTTTTTAATAACTTTCATATTAAAATGGAAATGAAATAAGGTTGAAATACCAGTTCAAAGCCACCAACAATTCTAATTGTTAATTTTAAATTTAATTGTATTAAAATACTTTAGGTATCCAGATTTTCAAGTACTTCTTTAATTGTAAAAATAGTGAATTCAGTATTTCTACCTTTGTTTAAGAAATTGAAATTGTTAGATGTTTTTAAGTTACAAAAATTATGTATCTACTATGTTTGATCTCTAATATGATAAATTCTCTTAACATTTAAATGAATATTTTACTCTTTTCACACATGTCCCCCTAACACAAACGCAAAAATTAATATCAGTCGAAGGTGATCACTACATCATCAGCAAATAATTTGTTTTGGATAATAAAGAAGAGAGTTCTTTATACAGAAGAAACACAAGGCTGTGTTGAATGAAGTGCTTTTGAAAAAGATGACTAATGAAATAAATATTATTTAAATTTTCTATATATTTTCATTTCTTTTCATCCAATCACAAGTTAAATCTCTAATTGTGGCAAAGACAAGCCATACCAGTCACTCATTGCAAAAATCGATTTTGAGTTATTAATACAGTGTTAGAGAGTAAAATAATAGCTATAAAATGGTAAAAAAAATCATTCAAATCGGACATTTCCTTATGAACAAGCGTTTTAACCACACAGCTGTTTAAAGAACAATATATGAGAAATTAACCGTCAAAGTTTATGATTTCAGGCATTTCTCATGCAGAAACTATCTTTAAATCCTTAAAAAGTATTGTTTAATAACATTGAAAATGGGGAAAATAACAGCATAGAATGATGTGTAGATATATAAAGGTTAGTTTAGTGCAATAAAATAGATTTTTAAAAATTTGACATTCCAGCATGTTTTGGCCATTTTCTCTGAAACACGATTTGCGACGAGTGACTGGTTTGGCTTGTCTTTGCCACAATTATATGTAAGAAAAACATGGTGTTCAAAAAACTAAGTGCCATGAGAAGTGTGGAATAGAGGATTTTTACAGGGTATGTACAGGAACTGGTTGTATTTGGAGTGAATTATTATTTAGTAAGGGCATGCATGTACTGAAAATACACTATTGTTACAATAAATGGAAAGAAGTAAGATATATTTATATTATTGTTATTTCATCTTCACCCAGCAGTGTACACCAATTACATGGTGAATGTACATTTAAACATATATCAATAATTAAAAATTAAAAATTACAATACAAATATCAGTAACAATATACAGTAAAGTATACTAAATAAATAATTTGTTCAACAATATACTTACATGATGAAATTTTGTACTTCAAATGGCCAGGCTTCCTACCACATGGATCTCTCTGATATACTGAATGCCTTGCAGACTTCTCTAGCTGTTTTCTTCATGAAAATATCTGGCTATCATTCTGAAATTTGAATTGATTAAATCTAAATAAAAATTTTAATTAGGACATGTCTATTAATTTATCCAATTATTTTTACTTTAATACAATAAAAGAAAAAGTAATAAAATTGTGTAAACTCAAGTGAAACTCTTGCCACAGTTTTTCTTCCATGTCAGAAAGATGGTTACGCTCCATTCTTCTCCCGTTTTTTAAATACTCACAAATCTGTATCTCATTACTGTTCCCAAGTTTTTTGGCAAACACCTTTTTTGTGTCTTATAAACAATTTTTTCCCTCCGGAGCTTAGCATTAAAAGTAATAACTGAAGATATAAATAGGCCCAAGGGTTGTATGCATTTTTTTTTCAGAAAATAAAAAAAATTTTTAAATGGTCAGCATTTTATTGTTTATTTCTGACAGCAACTCGATTCACTTTTTGTCTGTTAATATTAGAGGATTTATGAAAAAAATAATAAAAAAGAAATGTTTGCAAATAAATAGTCTATTGATTAAAAATTAGATGTTTAATTTTGCCAGAGACATCTGACCCAGGAAAGGTAAAATCAATATAATTTTATGTGTAAAGGCGATGTCTTACCATAGTATCAATATGCGCACACAGTAGTGGTGTTACAGCCTATACTTCATAGTGACGTGTACTAGATGCATCATCTTGTCTGAAATGAGATCATAAATTTAATGAAACTGTTTATATCTTACATTCACTCATGTTTACATATGAAAATCATTGCAATACATGTTTAATACTCGTTCTTTTTTATCTTTCCTATTTTATTGATGTTGTTACAGTTATTAACAGAAGTTTACGGTTGAAGGTGAAACTATGCCCTTTAACCGCTCCGCAAATTAAAAAAATAATAATAATAAATAATTTAATTTTTCCAAATTAAAAAAAAAATAAATAAATAAAAATTTTAAAATTTAATTTTAAATTTTGCAAATTTTAGTTGTTCTACAAATATTGTTAGTACCTTCAGCGCGGGTTTGGCCTTTTCTCTGCTGCAGTGTGATAAACACCATAAATGTAGCCAAGGCCTATTTTGGGATACTATGTCTCTGAGGAACAAATTGTATCATAGAATGTGTCTATTGCATCATCCTCCATGCTGGTGAGCTGTGAGGGGATAGCCCTCTCTAAACAACTGTTGTCCTGACATTTCTTAAGAAATCTTCACCTGTGATATCCAAGTCTTACAGATAATTCTTGACTCTATCCTGGATTTTAGTATTGTAAAGTAACAGAATTACTTTACAGCAATTTAACATTTCATATTTTAATACAAATCTACATTTTATAGTTTTGAGAAAATAAACAAATCTGACAATCTCTCCGGTGTTATTACAGAAAATCTGCTACTGCATACCCAGAAGTCCCAAGTCATCCACAATTCACAGGAGTTCCCTGGAAATTGGGACAGCCTCCTGCAAAGCAAGCAAGAGCTCCCAGAAAATAACCAATCTCCTGCATTAATTTAATAATAATAGGTTGATTTATAAGGTGACTCTAAACACCAAAATTCATAACATTTTTGCATTTTTTAGTACCCTATTTTCAATTGTCCCATGGAATCCAGTGCCAATGGGTGTCACCATGGGCACTGGATTCCATGAGACCCGTCCTCGGGTATTCTTCACACATGCTGAAAAAGACCCGAGGACGGGTTGAAATATTCATGTTTTGAATAAAATTTGTGTTCTAAGTCTACCAAGTCGTTGACATCTCATCGTCTTTTTCATTGAGTTGTGTATTGAAAGTTGGCAAGTTTTTGCTGGCCTATTTTTATCCTCATTTTGGGCCTTGCGGGGACTTAGCAGGGGATGTAATTTCCAAAATGGTTACATGCATGTGAGAGTCCCGGCCACCTCCTAGCAATGCGGAGCATCGTTTTAATGTACATCCCCGGCTAAGTCCCCGCCACACCGCCGTAGTCCTGGGAAAATGCCTCGCTAATAAATGATTGGAGGATAAAACCTACTTGAAGGTTTAGCCTACAGTAGGTCTGAATCGGAGAAGCAACGTGAGAGCTAGGCCAAGGAGATGAGGTTCCTTGATGGAAGCACTACGCGTGCGTATCACTTAGCAGTTTCCATGGAAGTTTGGACTACAATTGACAAGTGCATAATCTGTCTCTTATACACATCTAGATGTGTATAAGAGATAGATTTTTCAGTGGGATTGAGCACTGTTTCACACACACACACACATACATACATACATATATATATATATATATATATATATAAGAACACATTATATAAGAACACTGAGAAATTGCTTAACAATTAAAAACAAATTGAGGATGAGGAAAAATGTCAATTAAGGTTTTCTTATTTAAAAAATTAAGAAACTAACAGAAGATTTGTTGGTTTTTTCTATTTTAAAAAACAGAAAAACCTTAACAAACATTTTGTACCTTATTTGCAATAGGTGTTACTGTGTAATATCAAAAAGTATAGCACAAGAGAGATAGCCAGTGCAGGATGCACGTTGTTGTTTGTGTGTGCACAGCAAAGATCTTATAATAATAAGATAGCGCTCTCCACAAATGAGGCATGTTGTGGCGAAATGGTTAAGTTGTCGCACAGTCCAGTATTGAGTAAATGAGCTATAAAATATGGGAGCTCAAAAAATTACCTAAAAATCCAAATTTGTTTTTCACAATCAACAGTTTAATGTCTTAATAATCATGTCCCAAAGTATTAGTTCTGGAAGTGGTTTAACAAATTGTTTATTTAACGTTATTTTTCATAGTTCATTCTATTAAGCAATGTATGCACAAATAACTTTGAAAGGTAATTACTCAAAATCGTGATCTTGACTCCAAGCATAACTCTACTTTCACTTTCCAATATTAAACTTAGGCTTGAAATTTCCAATTTGAATGAATGACCCCTCATTTTAAAGATCACATATTCAGGTATCTGAAAATACCAATAACTTGAATTTCAATTTTTGCTACAACTTGGCCATTTTGCCACAACATGCCTCAAATTAGAAACGTTCATTCAAGCAGAAAGCAATTGAAAGTAATTGTAATTGAGAGAGGGCGTCCTAGGGAATTTGGCAGGTGTATACTTTGTACACCGACATCGTTGATAAGTCATTTTCTGGAGAATTTGACAAAATTCGGAAGACCATAGTGATTGCATGAAACTTCAGGAGACTCCTAATCAAATCGGGCAAGTTGGAAAATACAGTACGATATACAGTGGACATTGAATTTGGTTGGAATTTATAGAAACCTGCTACACAGGAAAAGCATATTTGGAACACCAAATTTCATTTGTGGAATTTTGCATTTGCACATAGCTCTTAAATGCTGTGGGATTTCAAACAAATCTTATATTGGCATTCGTGGTGCTCGCGCATACTATTGTACATAAACTATGTGCAATGTTCATGTATCAAAATTTATGCTGAAGTTCCCTGTCTGTACTTGTTACTATGTACACAGAACACTCTTTATCTAAGTATATATTTCATGTGCACTTACTGGCAATTAAGTATCTGTAGGCACCTAGGCTAGGCCCAGGCCACACTGACTGAGTTTCTCTCCTGGCAGCTGGTCCTGTCGTCTGGGTGGTGAGAAAAAACCTATGAACTTTGGTTTGTAGGCCTTGTGGCACGGGCCTTCACTAGGCCTAGCTGCCTACTGCTGCCGGCTGCTACTACACCAGTAAGGCTAGGCCTATCCCTGGGCCCTATAATAATCATAATAGGCTAGTTTCTATCTTACCTGAATACAAACATCCATAAATTGTCTACCTAAAGATTTAACGAATTTCCAATATAATAAAATAAACCAGGGAAGTCTAACAGAATCAAAAGACAATACCTAGCCTCTATAGGCTATACATGTGCAAATGTTTACACAAGTGCGCCACCTATAGTTTATCGGGATTGTTTTTGTAATTCAAAAAAGAGCGGTAGGGTATCCTGATTACTTACTGTATTTCAAACGCAAATATTGAGAAAATTAGTGAATGTGAGTACTAATTCAATATTTAGTATCGTTTTTAGGTGAATACGCCAAGTGTTAGGACAAATAGGGTAGGCGTAGCTTTTTTCTTGGAGCCTAGGCCGGCCCAGCTACTCAAATAATGACTCAGCCTCCCTCAGCAGCAGGCGTCCTACCAGTGACCACTACAAAAGGCTCGCTTAGCTAGGCCTAGCTAGCCTGTGCCTATGGTTAAGGCCTAACCAGGCTGATCTCCAGGCCAGGCATTTTCTGCTGGTCTATGTAACCTACTACAGACTTAAGCCTAGACTTGCCTTTGCCTAGAATTAATCAATAGACCTTAGCCTTAGCCTCCTACTAGCCTAGTACTATAAACAGTAGGCTATTATGAATGAGTCCAGGCATATGTTGTGTGTGAACCTTATCTTAAATTATGTATACTTTTACTAGGCCTAGGCCCTAATAATAGGCCTACTACTACTACCGTCCTTACAGACATGTTTTTCAAAATATTTTTTCAGAAATATGATGCAACCAGCTTACAACTTTCCTTGTCTCAGTTCTGAAGATTTGTTGATCTTCCTTCAAGGGCTGTTTCTAGATGAATTTGCCATCTCAGAAAATGATTTGAAAAATCCTCAGGTACAATTTTATATTTTTGTATTGCATTCACCAAATTTATTTGCTCCTCGATTATTATTGTTGATGCTGTTTGTAGTGCAGGCTTCAGATTTCCATAGTAATTTAAAAATGTCCATCCATAGCACCTACATTATTTACCATCAATCAAGCCTTGAATGCAAGGCTGCTCAATTTCAAGTACATCTTGAATTTCAAACAAACTCATCAGATTTATTGGAAAACAAAATGAACCCGATCATTTCATTTATTATCCTTTGTTAACACTTGTATACTAATATAAAGGCCTACTGCACTGAAGAAAAACTATATTGTTGTGATATCCAAACTAAAACAAACATGTACGTTCATTCTTTAAAATATTTTTTTTGATGCACAAGTAACAAGTGATTAGAGTATATGATAATTCCCTTCCCTAATAATAAATGCCTCTTGAATAAACACCCTTTTAGAGTGTATTCAAATGGATATGCTTAATACTTGTTACAGCCTCTGCGTGTTCAAGCACTCTACTCCCACTTGCTGGAAGCTACACTAAACATTACCCCAGACCAGTTGAAGCAGCCCCAGCTTGAAGCAACCAACTACCTTAGCTACAATGAACTACATGAAGACTCTGTTCCACTCATCATGTTCACACTTGTCATGTAAGTACTGTATATGGCATATAATTATGTGACTGGCTCTGGAAAAACACTCCGTTTGTCACATTTTCTGATTTCCCACAAGCACCCAAAAAGTTCGAGAATTAGAATTTCGAAAATTTTAATGTTTTTGCATTTTAATAAAAGAAGATATATTGAAGAACATTACTGTTAAATATTCAATCACTAAATCTGACTAAAAAGTATATTAACATTTATTTTTAAAATACAAATCTTAATAATTGAATTTGGAATCTTAGGCAGCTGATTTCTCAAAACCTGCACAGCTGATATCCAGTGAAATAAATATTCATAACTTTGCTAATAGATAACCAATTTACATCAAATAAACACTGTTTTAAAGAAGACTACTTGCAAAATCTGAAAAGACCAAACAGAGGGTTTTGCCAGAGCCGGTCGCATATACATGCATATGTAACAAAAGTAACCACACACTAGTTTGGTAATGTCCATAATACTAGTGGTCATTTTCTTGCTGATGCGAATAGAAAAGTCAGTGCAAATAATACCACTTTAATTTGCATGGTTTTTATTCATATGTGTCATGGAGAATTCTTCGAAAAGGGTTTTGCATCAGAAAACTGAATAGTAATGATGTTTTGAACAACCTGGTGTATTGTACTACTGTACTACACTCGGTATATCCGCAATTACTTGTGGGAAAAGCCTTATTCGGATTCCCACCCGAATCACTTGCAAATTTTTTTCGCTAGTATTTGGGGATGTACTGAGTATTCGGTACAGTATCACATCAGGTGGGGCAAAACATCACTCCTAGAAAAAAAACCTTGTGATTTTGGTGGGAATCGAACCCAGACATCCAGATAAGTAGACTGGTGTCATACCACTAGACAACTTTAAAACTCTACAGCCATTCTGAGTGATTTTACACTTTTCTGATCCTCAGTCTGGCTTCTTTCGCTTTCACTCACCTTACTTTCAACTACATTGTGGAGTATATAATTATATTAATGATGGCCTTATTAATTTATCGGTTTGCAGGCAAAGGTTTATGGCATCTTGCGGCGTGAATGATTTTAAACTGAAGGATTTAACAGCACCAAGTAAGTACTCCACACTATCATCAAGATCTTGCAATTTGAGCATCTTAGAACACTAGACCTTTCCGGAGTGCCAATCAAACTTAACAACTGACCAATCAGAACAGAGCCAGGAATATGGGTGTGTCTAACAAGCACACGTGTTGTACCACACAAACATATCTTTTAACATTGTCATTTGTTGGACCTTAGCAACAGTAACCAAGGGCGTTTAGTTGAAAGGATCCATTGTATATTGATAACAAATGCTTATATAAATTGCATGGTTGATTGATTGATTGATCAGCAGTTGTTTTTATTGCAAATAATAATTATTATACAGAAAATTAAAAGTAGGTGAATCTATAGTTATAGCTATATGTTGTACCGAAAAAAATTAAGATAAAATACTGTTAAACAAAGCCTAAAGATTACTATTTCAGTACAACATATATATAATCTTAATATAAACAGTGCTGTTCCCCTTAATTCATACTAAACTGTTTAATATGACTTATGATTTCAGAGCCGAAGCGGTTTCAGCGAAACCTGAGTGCCATTGTCAATTACTACCGATTTAAAGAAGAGAGGGTGCCAACATTTGAACGCATCAAACAAGAAACTGTAAGTGTAGCTGCTTTTCTTTTTTTAAAAACACAATTTAAGTATGTGTCTTGCAGGTATCTTTGGTACAAATATTAAAATCCTTACTCACGCCATTACTCAGATACTTCTACCGAGGACGGCAGATGACGGCAGACTGACGTTGCATATGGCAAGCGCGCACACACACACACACACACACACAGTGTGGACAAATTCTTAGGCCAAAAGCCGGCTGATACTGCACCAGTCTTGACCTGCACGAGTCCTGAAGCACTGTGCATAATATAATTATATACAAAGTCAACATTGTTATAGAGAAGTTTCTGACGGATACCAGAGTAACTAATGCTCAAGTACATATCTTGTATTGACAAAGTCTCTTTCTGTATGTTTACAGGATGCAACGAACGAGCAGTATCAGTGCTCCCTTCGAGAAATTGATGAAATGAAAGCTAAAATTAACAAGATCAAAGCAAAACGAGCAGAAGATGAGCCCCAGGTGCAACAGGTACAAGACAATTATTAATTAAAAATTGATAAAAATAGATGAGTCGTCCTAGTGTGATATAGTAAATAAAGTACTATTTGTCCAAGTGTTTTATTTACTATGATATCATAGTAAATAAAACACTTGGACATTTAGTACTTTTGTTTTAATGACAGTACACTTAGCTTTCATGTACACAGTGCACTTCTTCAGGTGAATGTGGAGCTACAAAAATAAACTGGGTTGATAGACCTGAGCAAGCTAATTAATTATTTAACAATTATTAATTTTCATTTGCATCTTTTTAGCATATTCAGTAAATTCACTTATCACCCATGAGTCACAATAGACCTTGATAAGTTTTGATCAAAAAGTCTGTCGGTGTTGATGATGTTAATTGGACCAACAATTTTCAAAAGGGGGTAACTTTTGTTTATGTCCTGTAGTACAAACACAAAGAGAGTAGCAATAGAGTCAAACCAAGAACCTTATGATCTCTGAAAACTGATGATTGTCTTGCAGTCTCATCAGATGTCAATTATTCTCGTTAATTTTTTTTTTTCAGCTTTGTAGCCAGGTGGAGGAACTTGGAGCTTGCATGTCAGCCTACCAAAAGGAGCAGGCCATTCAACAGAAAGAGATACAGCAGCTGAAGTCAGAAATTGCAGAGAAAGTTGCCAAAACGGTAATGCCTAGTATTCTACTTTGAGGGAATAATAATTATTATTATTGTTAGTCTTATTGCCTTTGCCATGAAAGCTATGTATTCACTGCTGTTTTTCTGTCTTTCTGTCTGTTAGCAAGATTATGCAAAACGTAATTAATGGATCATCATAACATTTAGTGAAATACTACATATTAATCAAAGAAAAACACTATTTCATTTTTGGAAGAAAAAGAAGAGAAAAAAAAATAATGGAATCGCCCAACATATTCAGGCTGCACTTAAGAAAACAATGTTGCTAAATAGGATGGGGCAATGCCATTATCTCTTTGAGGGCATCTGCAGCACTAAAGAAAATATTGTGCCTGAATACAACTGGCAATTCTATTATTTCATTAAGGGTATGCTGCAGTTTCTCCCATTATACACGGCCTGAGTATACAGTAGTTGGTACTGTATTCGGGCACTTAGAGGAGGTGTGCACGCTACAGAGTGACTGCTCTAGTTATTGTGTCGTCGTTGTTGTCATCTTATTATTATTTATTATTATTAATATTACCAGCAATGGTTATTGATAGGCCTACTTTTCTATCAAACAATTTTCTGAAAATTTTTCTAACAAAACATTTTCTGAAAAAACCCAAAATTTAGCTTGTAATTTTAATACATTATATATTCCTTATAGTGAAACAATTTAAACTTGAAATCTTAATTTGATCTCCATATAGGACCAGTATAAAGTGACAACACTGAGTGCTAGAGAAGATGGTGATAAACTGAGAATACAAATTGTCCAGTCACCCGAGAAGATGAAGACCAAGATCGACAGCATGCACAGCGCCATCAACAGCAGCAGAATGACCAAAGAAGACAAGGCGCTGTGTCTCCAAGAAAAGAGAACACAGCGAGAGAAAATGGCTGCCATACACGAATGCTGCGAGCAAGTTTCAAGACTCATCTCGGCAATTAACTGCGAACTTGATAAGCAAAGGTGGACAACCGTAACCTAAATTATCATACGCTAATTTTTTAAAGTATTTATTTATTGCCTGTTTGTTTATTGTTTACAGTATTTATGTATTTATTTATTTAGGCACGTGGTCAAAATTTTGCCAATAATGCAAACTGAATCGAAAAAAAAAACCAGTTAAAATGCCTAAATATGGTCATGATGACATCACATCATGACCATATATAGGCACATCATAACTATATATGGGCATACAACAGTTTTTTGTCAAATAATGGGTAGTCAGTTATATTTATTGTTAGAGTATACTACATGACGTATTGGTTATGTTACACTAACAACCATCCACCACACAAATCAATTAATTTACATACTTTCCATTTCAAAATTAAAAGTACCAAATAAAATTCACGGTCCCTTTCTTCAAGTAGCATAATGTTTAAATGAATTAAGGTTGACTTTATTTATTTCTTGAAATGTTGGTCAGCGAGTCATGTTCAAAATGGAAATTTTTTAGCGATATACCGTAAAAACTCTTTTCCTTTCAAGGTGGGCCTCTTTTCAAGATTGTGATAAATGTTTTAAAATGTTTTACGTTTCAGGGAAGCATCTGGTGAAGTAGAGAAGGTCCGTGACAACCTTTCTGTCCAGAGGGACGTGTTGAGAGACCTGACTGCGAAAGAGAACCAGTTTAAGCGACAGGTGGTGTCAAAACAAGAGAGAAAAACCAAGTTTACTTTACAGCACCAAAGCAAAATGACTGCAACTTCTGAAGCTCTTCAAATGTCCAAGAAGTATGTTATTTCACTCTTTTTTTTTATATTACAGAGATATTATCTGCCATTTTACAAGCAGGGGTCGCAAATATGGTCATGACATCAGATCATGAACATATGTAGGCACATCATGACCATATATGGGCACATCATGACCATATATAGGCACATCATGACCATATTTGAGCACATCATGACCATATATAGGCACATCATGACCATATTTGGGTACATCATGACCATATATGGGCACATCATGACCATATATGGGGATACAACAGTTTTTTGTCAGAAAATTTGATAGTCTGAACAGAGTAATTATTAAATTATATTATTTCAGGGAATGTGAAATGTGTGAAGAAAAACAGCAGAAGTTACAACAGTATTTGAATAAAGTAAAAGAAGAAATGGAGAATGTACAGCAAGAGGTAGGTCCTGTGAGATAAGGGTTGTGAAATTGCATAGTGATGTAACATGCTCAGATTTGGTCAGATTAAGTTGTTAATGAGATAACTTAATCAGTGGTGGTGTCAGCAGGGGGAAGGGAAAGGTAACACCCCCCTGGGACAGGCCCAGACCCCCGCTGCCCAACGCCACATTAACAATATTTATTAGCCTAACCCAAATGTTTATTTGAAGCACCATAAAAGTTTTCCACTTAAAACCCTACAAGGAATTTTTATTCTGGGACCCTGATCAAGGCTCTATTCAGCCCCTTGGTTCGGTCCCTGCTAAGATTTAAATCTTGACCTACCCTAAAAGTTTGGACAGACTTTCGATGTTTGTTGTGAGCGGATTGGGAGAGCAGCCTAACATATCTTTAGGGCCTCCCGAACTGACGGTGTACATAAAGGTACAGTACTATAAGACTGACTCCTCCAGCATTGGTTGAGATTTAGTATTCTTAAAAGCAAATATTATATGAATATATACTGACAATATAGAAAGTTTGGAAACCAGTGCTATACAATAAATATGTATTATTAGTAATATTTCGGGTTTCTTTTTTTTTTAGAGGAACGATAAAGTGAATAAACATGAGGATGACATGAAAAGTTTGCAAGACACTTACGCATCTTTACTGGAAGCAGTGAGTATAAATCCGATCTTATTTTTATTTAATCCTAGCCTTTGGAAGTGGGAAAAGAATAATACACATTAGCTATGTTCACACATTTTTTTTAGGTCTCTGCTAAACTAAGATGATTAAAAAGGTTAATGTAACCTCTTTCAGTAAAAACTATGCGTAAAAAAACAACAAAATGTTTCATAATTAGGTGGTGCTCTGTGCCGGGTTCCTGGGCCCCCTAAATTTTTCAAAATTAAAAAAACAAAAAATTGAGAAAGAAAGAAAATTATATTCAGATTTAAGTCTCAGAGTGCCATTTCCGGCCATCTAGAGGGCCCAAAAAATGCCCCTCCTCCACATGCCTCTAACTCACTGAAAGAAATGGGGGCAGAAAAAAAAAACTTATAAGAAGTTTTTTTTTCTTTTTCCTTTACGAATAAAAAAAAATGTGAGTGAATTTATCTTTATTTTTTGCCAGATGCCCAACAAATTTGTATAAAGTTGTTGTTTGATGTACGATATTGCCATTCTAGGCCCCTGTGGGTTATCTTTATTCAATCTGATGAGTATCCTAAACAAAAAAAAAACTTTTTCCAGACACCCCTATTTATCATTTTGAAAAAAAGAAGGGCGAAAAAACCGATTTATTTTTTTTTTGCCTAGACATACATTTTTTTTACCTCAGCCCCAACCATGGTAGGGTATAGACCCTTGTCTGTGGAAGTCTTTTCCTAGGCCCCACTGTTTCGAATTCCTCAATCTGCTACTGGTGCTGTGAGCAATTCTCTAAGATGGAAATGTATGCTTGTAAGATAACAATGTTAATTAATTAAACATTTGTATAATTATTAAAATGAAATGGTTTGTATTTATACAAACCTGTAGTTCTATAATACTGTATACTTGATAGATTTTTTTTTTTTTTCATACAGGTTGATGGTTACCATAGAGACATTGCTACCACCTGGAACAAAGTTGCTCCGTGGCAGGTGTCTCAGGATGAAAAGTGAAATCAACAAGCAACGAAGATTTAGCTGTTAGCTGCCATATTATAAATTATTATTAAAGTTCATTGACTTATGAAGCAATTATTCCGGAGTGGAATACTGTACTGCACTATACAGCTTCCAAAAATTGCCTTTTATGCCTTTAGTGTATGAAATACGACTATATTAATTGCTTATTACTTGATTAATCTTATTATCTGTAATCATGTATACTGCCACCAACAATGATCAATTTAATTTTGCTTTGTTCAAAACTTTATACAAGATAACTACAGTATATCTGTGTCAAAATTAGATCTTTTCTTGTCACAGCCAGTGTGTAAACAATATTTGTGGTAGAAATAGTGCCTAATTTCTAATAAACGTCTTTGTATATATGTTTTATTTGTCGACTCCTTTGTACTCTATTGTACTATTTAATGAATCTAATCAATTATGGTTTGAAGATGTATTAAGAATCATCAATAGTACAGTACAGTAAATAGAGTACCACAGTCGTGTCGTCACGACGCCAGGTGGCGCTTTCTGTTGTCAACAGACGTTGGTTACCGGTCATTACGCCTGAATCGAATAGGCATTTTAAAATGTAATATTTTACCATCAAAATGTACTAAGAACACAGAAGCTCGCATTATATTAGTTATCGAACACGCATTTAATCATCAATTATTTACACCTAGAGTACATAGGACCTACTGAAGGACTATACCAGTCCGAAAAGTCATGTACTACACTATGTTCTCTAACAACGGAGTTAACAGTTAATTTTTCAATCTCCAGCAAATTTAAATAGCATCCAAAATCATCCTTTTTGGAATGTAAGGAAATACAGTAGATAGTACTTTATATTTGTTGGATCGATTGTAACTCCTGAATGTAGCAACCCCAAAACGAATGGCACTTCAGAATACAGTACAGTGTACCAAAACTTCTCTCGAATTTTATATCCTATCGTGTTGTTTGTGTTTTAAGTTAACTTTATATATTTATCTTTTATTTTTTAGCGTACAGGTTTGGAATATTTTAAAATCCTTAAGGGGTCATCCATTATTTTCATCATTTTCACGCGCCTACAAAACGTACGCTGTGGGGAGGGGGTTGAAAGTGTGTGTACGCTTTTCAAAAAGTACAAAAATAACGATTTGGAAATGTTAGCCTACGTTTTTGTACCTAGCAATTCACGAGTAAATGTTAAGTTTATCAATTGTTTATACACAGCGTCATCTTGCATCCCTGATTAACGATGTGTTGGTTAAAGCATATCGTGTACTTATAAACAATTTCGAAATACAAGGGAAATGCACTCTAGCCAGGGGCGGATCCAGGATATGAAAGAGAATAGTTTAAAATGTCCACAAAAAAAAAGCCCCAACATTAAAAGGGGCCCTGGGAACTTCCCCGGGAAAATTTGGATTCCTAGATGGCCGGAAATGAGCTTTCCCGACTTCTGAGGAGTTTTTAATGACCTTTAAGTTCTTCAAAATTCAAGGTTTT